TATTTTTTCTAGTTGTTTCATACCAATATAAACTACCCCTTTGTGTACAATTGAATTTTTAAAAATGCGTTTAGTTTGCTACAACAAATATGATATAAAAATCTATAGAAACTGCTGTTTGCATTGTGTTGTTAAGTATGATTTTGGTAATGGAAATATTTTCAGAATACTGCACTTGTTATTGTCGTTATTGAGCATTGAAGTGGCCCTCCTATGATATGACAACACCAGCAGTGGCCCCAAGCCAGTTTGAGTTTGAGACCCCTGAGTTAATCCACTGTTAATATAAAAACATTGCTTAGAGAAGCTATAATTATAGACTCACTCCAACTGCTCAAAATGAGCCGATGTTTTATAGCATGCTACCCTACAAACAGGATATACACAAATAATTATTTAGTCATTTAAATAGTTATAGCTTTTGGCTTTAAAATAGCATTACCACCTAACAGACAAACAGGTTGTGGAAGTCAGAGAGTCACCAATCACAGAGAGGAAATACTCTGAGCAGGATAAAAAGAAAGAAAAAAAACTGTTGGAAATATTATCCTGCGTGTTTCCATTGGTCGTGTGTTCCAGGATGTGGTCTCGTTCAAGTGTAGCTGCACCTGTCATAATCTGGCCACTGTCCACGGATAATTCCTGAAGGTGAGTTTAACACTGCAGAGCTACTTGACAGCTGAGCATAAAGCATGTGTGGGGAGAGCAGGCGGATAAGCCATTACACACAGCAATCTGTCAAACAAGGCTGAGGCTTACTAAGCAGACCCTTCCTCATAAGACAGTGTAAATAGACAGGCTCCTATCTGGCCTAATACTAATCTGTTTTATAGTAAGGACACATTTTCTTACATGCTTTCTGGCTGTTTAAATTCTGTTCATCAGTTACCTCTTCCCCCATGTTGCCCTGTATAGCTGTAAACTGATAAATAACTTCATCTATTGAATTGTGAAAGTGGGAGTGACAAATATTTCCCCTCACAGTAAAAGCTTATTGTGTCGCTGAGTATTACAGCTGTTAATGCTCTGGAACTGGCTTCCTCGGCTTTATAAAGGCCGAAAGCCGCGCGTCAATCACCGGCAGTCCCTTAAACTGAACCGCAGCATTTGAACATGCCGTTTCTTACACACAGCCGCTTCAGAACTTGCCCCACAGTGTAGTTGCTGAGCAGTGTACAATCATCTGCCAGGTGCTTTCATACTCGCTGAGAAATGGCTTTGCATAGTGTATTTGCATGGCACCATGCGGCAGGGATGACTGCAGCTCAGCCATTGTGACCTGAAGGACTCTTCTCACGTCATTCTGGCTCCCCACACAGTCTGTATGGGCTCCTGAACATTAGCTCTGTCCACAAACCCAGATTTATTTACATATATGTGTGTTTAAGTCCATGCAGCTCTTGTATTTAAGAAGCAATTCTGCCTGCACAGTACATCAAAAATGAGTGGAAGAAATCCCAAAACACCTACAAAACTGTATTTTTTCCACTCTGCGACAAACTAGTAGCGCTGTGCCAGGCAACAAGAGCAGGCATGTTGAAACTGAAAGGTTCTTACTGAGTTTCCACAGGATCCCTGTTCCAAAGAAACTGTTTACTTAATCACCATGCTGGATCCATTAAAGCTAATGCTTTGTTGTTCCAAGCTGTCTGATAATACTTTTGCCTGAAGTCATTGCCTGAAATGTGTCTTCTTTGGTCATAAAATGTTCCAACAAGAAAAGCTTTTTACATTTGTATTACACATGGGTATGAATAAAGGGAAAGTAGGTGCAATGATAATATCTATCCAAAACAACTAAGCCTATATGTAGTGATTACACGAGCTCACCAGAAACAATGGACATAATCTCCAGGACTCGGCTATGGTCTGCTAATATACTGGTGGAGGAGAGTAGCAGTCACTGGCTAAACTGCTCCACGAGTCCAGTATACTGGAAAGCAATAGGATTTATCCTGTGATGTACTTAAGGTCTTGCTCTTATCCCGAAGGCTGGGTGAACGTTTAGGAGTGTTTGTTTATAGAAATAAGGGGGGCGGGCGGGGGTTAAGTAAGTAGAAAAGCTCAAGTCCTCTGGGGTAGATATTCATCTGCTTACATATCTCCCACAATGGGATCTAACATGTTTTCATTGGAGCCAGATCTGGAAACCGGAAACATGGTCCTGAGCCAAATTTCCATGAGCGTAAGAGACCTCCTCCAAACAGTGTCTGAAAGTTTAGTCAGCCCAGCACAGGCCAAAACTAAAAACCACTGCATATGTAGCCAAGTGTTCAGAATACTTCAATTCCAGTCTAATCTCTTTAATCCCTTTAGAAAAGTGGTCTTACTGTTGACTTTATAAAACACATACAAACACCCAAGAGTGCGCCGTAAACTATAACTTACATAACATTACAGAAATATAGTGATTCCACTTGAACTGATGACGTAAATCCCATACAGAATGATAAGGATACTATAAACAGAGTATTGAGTAACACAGACCCTCCCTGTAGTAACAGTGATTGATTGTGCATTGTACAGCTGACAGTCATGTTCAACGTGGACAGAAGACCTTGGGGGGGGGGACATGTGACTATGTTAAACACAGATGCTGTTACAGGCTTTGGAAGCGGCGCTTGCTGTTCATTTTCGCTTTGAAGCTTCTCGGTGAGCCAATGAAATATAATTGCTCATAGGAACTTTGAAGATTGGGAAGAAAATAATTTCAGTTTGCACACACTCTTCTAGACTTTCCAAATGTTATCGGACCAAATGGATCCAATTCTGATAGTGAAAAGAGTCAAAAGAGTCATTTCGTGTCGCCACCATTTTACAGCTGCCTCCTTTAGAGTCTAGGATTATGGGAAAAAGTACCTAACATGGTTTGCCCATTATGTCAAATTGGCTTCAAAGCCTGGCCCTTTTCATGGGGGGCTTCCTTTAAATGACCCATCAGGACTTCTGTAAGATTAAAATGGCACCTATACCTATAGAGTCACCGCCCTCAGTCATGCTCCGAGCACGGCCCACACAGACCCATCGTCTCAATCTGCTGCCCAAACTCCGAGGAGAAGAGGGAGAGAGTAGATGTAAAACGTTTCGAAACTCCCTCCCCTTCCTAGTGCAAAGATGAAACTACAGCTGCTACAAAATGGTACAAAAAGGTCTCCATCTGTAGAAACATGGCAATTCAACATGGCGGACTCAATGAAAGGCGACCCATGGCGTCTGTAGATATAATATGCGTATTCTAAAAAGGCAACAAAAACACAACAATTCCTA